CCTTAAACCCGAAAGCCTAAGCCCCATACTCTAAACCCTAAACCCTAAACCTTAAACCCTACACCCTAAACCCCAAAACCCTGGAAACCTTGTCAAAGCAGCTGCATTGACCCCGCCAGGCTTCAAACACCACGCCAGACCTAGGGTGGACTTTCTCAGTATTTGATGTGTTTCTTTGAAGGTCTTACCAAGTTCTGTTCTAAGGCTTTGAGAGATCCCGAGAAGCTGTTACTGGTTCTAGAACTACTTCAACTTGTGCTAGTGCTAGTACCTACTAGCACATGTACTTCTAGTAGAAGTACTACTAGTAGTACGCGTACTAGTCGTACTGTACTGGTACGACTACTTAGTACCACTCCTGCTCCTGCTCCTGCTTCTCCTCCTGCTCCTTCTTCTGCTCTCGCTTCTGCTCCTGCTACAGCTGCTGCTGCTGCTCAGGCTGCTGCCACTGCCACTGACACTCACCACTGCGGCTATCAGCCGATGCTGACTTGCTTAGACTATACGACGATGTGCTCGACTACAAGGACGGTCGTGCCTGTTCATGTCGTCAGTTTGCTTCGTAGACTCCTTGGTTTCCTCCGCGATGCCTCGGGCGTTGGCACTGAAGTTGAGCGGGTTCAGGCTTAGCCGAGTTTCGTGATGTGCACGGTCTCGGGTGGGACCCGAGGACCCCGACACCCAGTGCAAGACCGAACGGCCGAGGCACTCAAGCTGATCTCTCTGAGCTGGTCCACTTTGCTGGAGAGCCTTTCGGCCAGCTCCTAGCAACGAGTCGCTTCAGTTGGCTCTGATCGGGTAAACCGTCCTGCGCTCAATAGCTGTCAGGTACTGCGAGTGTTTTGAATCGTTGCAGCCACATCTGTCCTCAAATCACCTGCAAACCGGAACCATGAAACAGGCTGGGCGGAGCGAACTTCAGTGAAAGTGCGGCGACGAAAACCCCTCTTTGCCCGGCGTGTCGCCAAGACCATCAACTCCACTCAGAAACCGTGAAACTTCGCATCCAGGAACTGTCAATGACTCTTCTTGGCCTCGTTCTGCAGCTGGAGCTCCTCCTGCTCGGCGGCGGCATAGGCTATGGCTGCGGCCTTGCAGGAGGCGAGGACAAAGTTCACTTGCAACGTGCTTGTAAAGGTCGTGGTAGCGAGAGAGAGCGAGAGGGAGCGAGAGCGCGAGAGCGAGAGCGCGAGAGCGAGAGACCGAGAGAGAGTCAGAGACAGGCAGGGGAGGACGACAAAACAAGCTTGCCTTGCCCTTCGTGTTCACGACATCGCCCCGGCCAAAGCGCGACCTGGAGAAAGCCAGATTCCGGCTGTGGGGTGCGGTTCAGGGCTCTAGGGCATGTCTTTGAAGGGGCATGGGTTCTTCCAATAGAGCGGGAAATTGGCTGAAACCTTTGCCTTGTTGAAGCACGAATGGAGAAGTAGGATCCACGGGGTTACAGAGTTCAATGATCTCGACTTGGCCTCATCTCGTCTTGATCGTGACGCAAAAGTTGCTACAGAAGCGTGATGACCCGTTAAAATCAAAGTAACCCTTCTGCAAGCTAACATATAATATTATAGTACTTATGCTGATCTTGCAGCAGCCCTCAAACCGGACAGCAACCCGCAGAGCAACCCTGAACATGCGCATTCGGGGCCAGCTGAACTCGCCGCCACGCAGCCCAAAAAGCAGAGCTCGGTGGTCGACACTGTATCGTCCCTTCCTTGCCAAGACTGCCAGAGCCATGGGGGTTTTTAGGGTTTTAAAAACGAGGATTGCCGAGCAACGGCTCCAAGGCGGTCTCTGCCACCGACATCTTTGACATCTTTGAGAGCTCCTCTTCGGAGACCATCATGGTTCCTGTCCAGGGGCTGCAAGGCTTCGCGGCAAGAGGCTGAACAGTTACCCTCCGCCCGCTTCAGCTGTGGAATTGTGGAAGTCCTATGTTGGTTTGGATGACAAGCTATGTCGGCCCGCCTGTGATGCAATGATGAAGGGTACCTACTGACTGGTGCCTCTGCGCATCTTGAGCCAAAGTGCAAAGAACCGTCTGTGGCTTCTGGCGGCATATAGCAACCTCTCTGCGTTCTGCAGCGCCCTGTGATCACGGCTGCAACGAAGCTAGGTCCGCTAGGTAATTAGGGAACCATGGCCCATGGCTCTGAAGATGGAGCAGCCTGACGGGCCAACAGCTTGGGCAGCTTCTGCAGCAAAAGCACCTCGGACTGGACCCCTTGTTCGGAGCAAGGAGCCAAAGTTCACTCCTACGGGTCAACAAAATTGTTCGGAAGCTTGTCTTGTAGTGTTACTTCGATTGCAGCTCGTATCGCTTCTATTGCGACATGTCACTTGGACGTGTCTGTCACTTCGGGTAGATGCGCCCTACTTTGATAAAGTCCGTACTAGTACGTACTAGTAGATACTAGCAATGCTCCTGCGACTGTCCCTGGCCTTGTTGTGCTGGTTGCTGCAGCGACGATAACTCCTCCTCATTTACTTGGGCCCTCACCCGAGTTGATTTGTAGTTGCACGAAAGCACCAAACGTTCGCCCAATATCTACCAAAGCACTCTACCATCTCACCGAGCTGCAGCCTCTTGTGTTCAAAACCTGCATCAAATAGAAATGGTTTTCTTAAATGAAAATGGCCTTCTTAAATGAAATATCGATAATAGGAAAAATTGGGAATCAAGTAGAACCATAACGTACCAGTATTTATCATCAAGAACAACTCAAGGAAAATAACCACTGTTTACTCAATGGTAGCAACCAAGCCGTGCACTTCTGCAATAAAAAAATACAAGTGTTTCTGAGAAGGATGAAATAGCATCCGTAATGTCAGCAATGCGGGAGCAGTTGCGGTCCATGGTGACACGCACGAGGTAGGGCGACGATACTTCCTACTAAGGTATTCACTGTGAACTCCGACACAAAACTTCAACCAATATTCCATCAGAAACCCCTTGCCACTGTCGGGATGTAACAGGGATTCTTGTGTATATCATTTGACTTGACGTGTTTCTCTGTTGTTGGGGCGGAGGCATGGCCAGAAAATTGAATAATGGTACAGGACGCAAACAAATCGTATGACGGCAGAGGGACTCCAAGAAGGGAGTCTTGCTACTCAAAGCTCAGGCCTAAACCCTAAACCTCTACACCCTAAACCCATAAACCCTCAACCCCTAAACCCTCAACCCCTAAACCCTCAACCCCCTAAACCCTAAACCCTAAACCCCTAAACCCTCAACCCCTAAACCCATCTGGCCCTCGACTCCCAGCTCCGAAGACCCGGGCCCCCCGGCCATGACCGGAGAGTTCAGCTCCCGTCCCACCGCGCTCAACAACGCCTCGCCGGCGTTGACCAGGACCTGCCACGCAACCGGTTCAGGGTTTCGGCCTAGGGTTTAGGGTTTTAAGTTTCGTGCTTAGGGTTTGGGGTTTAAGTTTAGGGCTTAGGGTTTAGGGTTTAAGTTTAGGGCTTAGGGCTTATAGGGCGTAGGTTTAGGGCCTAGGGTTTGACGTTATGACTATTATGACTATCGATACAAGTACGAGCAGCACCACAGCGACTACATGCGACTACCAGTCTGTCTTGACTCTTGACTCCTCGACACGGGCAAAAATCGCGAGCAGGGACACGAACGTTTGTAGCGTACGAAGAGGACCGCCCGGCGGTCCCCTCAGATGCAGGACAGAAGTCACCCCGGCCCGGCCCCCGCGCCGCACCTTGTATCGCGACCCCCATTGCGATGGTGCAACCCCGCCCGCATGCCACGCCGCACCCCGTATCGATACCACATGATACCACTGCTCGATTCTCCCGATAGAGTGCTACAGTGCGCTGCAGTTCACTCTCGCACGCTTCGGTGGATGGAACCCTGCCCCGGCCCTTGCCGCATCGTGAAGCCGGCCGCAACCGGCATTGTGACTCCCATCGGTGCAAACCCACCAGCACACCGCGCCGGTGGAAGCCGCGCCCCGCCCGCACCCCGGCGGACCCGTTGGATGCCAAAGACTCTAAACGCTCTGGTTCCCGCGCCGCACCCCATATCGCGGCCACGATGTTGGAAAATCTAAAGAGGAACCCAACCCACGAGGTTTTGGGAACACGCTGTTTTGAAAACAACCAATAGAAGCCCCCAAGACTAGAGTGGTTTTGTGTCTGTTTTTTTGTATTTTGTCGTATTTATGGCACAGTACATCGTAGGAAAATCGAGCCGGCGGCACTCGGCACTCGACTTTGAGCAGCTTCTCTGCTCGGCTACGGATGGTCTCACCTTGGTCGAAGTTCGGCCGCCGCGCTGACAGCGTCTGTACTGGATTCGGATTGCTGTGGTCGAGGGCTCAGATTTCTCATGGAGGCTTGTGAGGCTTGGGGCTTCGGGCTAAAGGGCTGGAGTTGGATTTGGGCTCTCTTTTGCTCGCTGCTGAGGCTTTAGGACTCCCCGCGTATCTTTCTACACCACTTTGGAAAGGGCTATCTAAGACCTGGACAACAAGCCCCATAACCACCTCAAGCCATTAAGTCCTCAATCCTTCACGCCAAACTCAAGGCATAATCGGGCCTTAACAGATTGAATAGGGTTTTGGGGTCCATCATACTGTACTTATAATAAGGAACCCCCCCCCCCAAAAAAAAATGTAGGTAGTTATTTAGGCCTCTTTATCAAATGACTGAAGGCTGCCCGGCCCTCACTGAGGCATCGGCCACTGGCCCCGCTCACGGCGAGGCCCGCGGGCCGCACGGCTTTCTCGAAGCCCTGGTCAGCTTTGGTCTTCTGGCAATAATGGGTTTAGGGTTTAGGGTTTAGGGGCTATGACTCCTCCCAATCAAACCCCAAACACAGGCCCCAAACCAAACCCTTCGCCTTAAACCCTCATCCCCTTCCCTAGCCTAGAATAGGGGCCTTAATCATTTCAAGAGTGCCTGCCTTTTTTTTGGGAAGGGGGGTATATTCTAAGTACTTTATAATGAGGAACCCTATAGGGAAAAAATCAACCCTGAGCCCTATTCAATCTTCAGTCCCCCCTCCTACCGGGCTCCCTGCCTCGAGGGCTTTCCTCGTCTTCTCCTGGGCACAGTCCGATCGAAGAGCTTACGAAGGAAGGGTTCCTTTAATTTAAGGGATGCTATACATGGTGCTGAAAGGGTTTAGTATAGGGCCGCGCTTGCTAGCTAGAATAGGGTTTTGGGTGTACGTTTTACTATAGTTCTACTTGTAATCAGAAACCCTCCAAAGTAGCATTGAATATGTAAGTGTTTAAGCCTTAACCTTAACACCTTTATCGTGATGACAGTGAGAGAACAATCGTCATCAGCGATAAACAACCATGACGATAGTGGTCGTGAGAGCAACCTTTGTTGCGTCAGTGAACCATTATCACGCCGAGTCTCATCGAAATTGTCCATGCAGATTTCTGACGGATCCAGTTGTGCCGCGGCCCAGGCACCTGGTCAAAAACGAGAGCAAGGGTACAGAGCTGTCTCTCCGAAAGAATGAACTGTGCTGCTTGCTGCGACTACATTGCCATAGGCTTTACTTCTAGTCTCGATGCGTTCTCACTATGGCTAGTTCTGATGACTGTTGAATTGATTGCGATGCTGGCTGAGAAATTTCCTTTTATGGCTATCTCCGTACTCTTCTTTTTGCTACGAGTTTGCATGCCGATGTGACTAGCGCTGTTGCCACTATTGATTCCCTTGATTGAGATGCCACTGCTGCGCAACTGCATGCATCCCCGTCACGGAATGGCAAAACAATCTTCCAGCTCTACTTGACCCCCTGGAACACCAGTCGTAAGATCCTCGTGCTAAGGACCCAAAGAACCGGGCCCCCCTTATATTGAGAAACCCCAGCAGTGCCTGGGTTTATGGACATCTTGATGAGGTCTTCGTCCGCCATCGCTGCGGCTTGCCCACAGTGGGCAATCAATGAGTCATCATCGGAGCAGTCGAAGCAAAGCTAGTGGAGACTAGCATATAATGATATAAACAACGCATATGACCTTATGACAACTAAAGATTGTGATCGTGTGCTGGTATTGTGTGCGTGCGTGTGAGAGTGACGAAAGTAAGGCCAGTAGTCATCATGGACACGTGGCACGGGTGGAAACACTAGTACAGGTGCTTTCTCTGCAGTGGTTAGCTCTGATGTGCAGGTTTTCCGGGTGCTGAGGGGCTCTAGTTGTGGAGTGTGAAACTTCTAGCAGCAACGAGCACATACGGCGCCACGAACCCAAGACTGGCAGAGCAAGATGCTACAGATTGACAATGTCGGAGAGTGTTGAGTTGCAGCTTCAGTCAATTTGTTTTGCCTGGTTGCCCTTCGTCCAACTGGCTGCTGGACAACGCATGTCCAAGTGCAACCGGGCTGCTGTGGCAAGAAGTCGGCCTGCTACCGGGAAATTCCGGCTACCACTTCAGAGGTGTGGCAGGGACCTGCACCGACATCGGTGCCGGTTGGTCGCTCGTGGGGTCCACCGCTGGCTGCAGGGGTGCTTGTGGAAGTGGCACTGACACAGGGGTTGCTCTGAACCTGGCCATGATGCCGGAAGCAATGCAAAACATCATTTCTGACCCGATTCCTGTCCTGTCCTGACCCGCGTCTCAGACCAACCCCATCTCTGCACTGCGGGTGGACCGGATGCTCAGGCGGAAGCTTGCAGGCACCAGCTGCACCACTGGCGAGAGCTGGCTCAGCTATCCTCGATGTCTGGCATATCCCATGTCGTCTCGCCCGTCACCTCGAGCACGGGCAGACTGGCAGATTGGCAGGCTGGAGGTGCCGAAACGGAAGCGGACATCTAAGAACCCTGCGTCAGAACCAAACCGCTTTGACGCTCCAGTAAACCTTCA